GCATTTGAGACAGATTGTAATGTTAAAGAATAATATTTTCTAATTATCACTGACATTTTCAGAGATTAAAATTTAATAAAATTAAGTGTCTATCTTTAAAAAAAATATTCATCAAAATGTTAATATTCCAGCCCATTATGATGGCACACACCTTTAGTCCCAGCATGTGGGAGGCAGAGGCAGCCAGATCTCTATTGAGATGAAGGTTAGTCTGGTCTACATAGCAAGTTCCAGGCCAGCCAGAGCTACAGGGAGAGCCTGTCTCAAAAAATCAAATCAATGTTCTTGCAGAAGACCTGGGTTTGAATCCCAGCACCCACATGGCAGCTAACAACTGTCTGTAACTCCAGTTCCAGGGGATCCGACAGCCTCTTCTGTCCTCCTTGGGCATTGCACGACATGGGTGCACTTATCTACATACAGGCAATACATGCATACACATAAAAATATAAAAATAATAAATAAAATATTTTTAAAAATCAAACCAAGGGGCTGGAGAGATGGCTCAATGATTAAGAGCACTGACTGCTCTTGCAAAGGACATGGGTTCAATTCCCAACACCCACATGATGGCTAATAACCTAGCAACCATCCATAACTCCAGTTCCAGGAGATCTGACACTCTCCTCTGAACTCTGTGGGCATTGCACAACACAGGTGCACTTACATACAGGCAGGCAATACACTCACACACATAAAACAAAAATAAATATTTTTTTTAAAACCAAACCAAACAAAATAAAAACATTTGCTGGGCATGGTGGTGCACCCCTTTAACCCCAGAACCCGGGAAGCAGAGGCAGGTGGATCCTCTGTGAGTTTGAGGCCAGCCTGGTCTACAGAGTGAGTTCCAGGCAACTGGAACTACAGGGAGACCCTATCTCAAAAAGACCAAAAAAATAAATAAATAAAAATAAATAAAAGCATTAATATTTTTAAAAGCCAATAACCTGTTTAGTTATACAGTAAAAATTAATTTCACAATATACATGTGAAAATAAGGGTATAAAACAAGGCTTATGTTATTCAGAACATATATGTGAAATATATATGTACATGACTATAGACAGAGATCTGTAATCAGAAATTGTAATATAATTGCTTGTGAGTTTTTCTCCTTTATGCATCAACACATAAAATTCCTTTTTTTTTTTTTTCTTTTTTTGTTTTTTTGTGACAGGGACTCCCTGTAGCCCCCGCTGGCCTGGAACTCACTATGTAGATCAGGCTGGCCTTGAACTTACAGAGATCCAACTGCCTCTGCCTCCCAAGTGCTGGGACTAAAGGTGTGCACCACCACGCCTGGCCATAAAATCCCTTTTTACAAGAAACACATGACAGTTATATAATAGTTAGTCTAAAATATTTTTAATAATTATAATGTCCCACATAGTTGTCTGGGAAAAATGATAAGAAATATTTTTTTGGTCTTTTTTTGAGACAGGGTCTCCCTGTAGCCCCAGCTGTCCTAGATTCACTATGGAGAGCAGGCTGGCCTCGAACTCAGAGATCCGCCTGCCTCTGCCTCCTGAGTGCTGGGATTAAAGGCATGCGCCACCATGCCTGGCAAGAAATATTTTTTAAACAAAAATCATTAAAGATCTCAACATTTAAGACTGAACATCCCAGAAACTATTGATTTGTAATATTCTAAACAACCAATATTTGGTTTCCATTATAATAGTTTTTCAAATATCCTCTAACAAGGCCACCAACTTGAAAAAAACCTCTCAGATGTGAGTGAAGGGGTGTGCCTGCAAGTCAAACAATACACAAATGACACTTCTAGAAGACTCCTAACAGTAATCAAAACTGACTCTATGATCCAGCTCTGAAAAAGATAACACCCCAAATTATTGCCAATGGTTTTAAGAAACAGCTCTTTTTAAATACAAGCACATGCAAAGCCTGCTTAGCATGTATCAGCCACTATCACATTAGAGAACCAAAAGAAGAAATCATGAACAAAACGCAAACCCCCTGCCTGGTATGGTGATGTACACCTTTAATCCCAGCAGAAGCAAAGAGTTGTAGGGCAGCCTTGGCTACACAGTGAGACCCTGTCTTAAAAATAGAGGGTGGGAAAGGAGGAGGGGGGAGGGGAGAAGAAGAAGGGGCCCTGTTAATCCATTTGCTCTACAGACTTGGAATCTATAAAGCAGGTAAAATTGTATTCCATATTTCCCTTTAGTTTTTTCCACATCTCCCAGAGCCTCACAGAGAAAACTGACTCTCTTGAGCCTTGTAATCTATTCATACATATCACTTTTAGAATCAAATATGTTACTATAGTTATTATGTAGGCTCCTTAAAAAAAGTATGGCTTAATAAATTATTATCTTCAGTTGCCCCTAAAGTGGTTTCATGCATGATTTCTCTTCCTTGTTTAGGTTTGCAGCTAGAAGATAATAAAGCTAGCAATGGAGCTGTTGTATGAGGAATACCTAACACACAGTGGAACAATAGTCAAACCTTATTACTGGCTGAGCTTCTCTCTAGACTGTACTAACTGTCCTTACCATATTCGGACAGGTGAAGAAGCAAGAGTTCCATACACAGAATTTCAACAGATTTTTGGATTCCCATGGCAACCTATCCTCAAACAAAACACCTCACATTTTATGAGCTAAAAGCTTCCTCTGGGAACCTGGTCCAAAAGGGCCATGCCAGCAACTGCACTGGGAGCCCCACCCACCTGGAATCAATGCTGTTTGAGATTAATGGTTACCTTGACTCAACCATATCCAATAACAGCAGCATTAGACACATCACTCTGTACTCCAACAACTCCCCTTGTAATGAGGCTAACCACTGCTGCATCAGCAAAATCTACAAATTCCTGATGATGTACCCAGACATCACTCTTAGTATTTTCTTTGCTCAACTCTATCATACCCAGCATCAATTCCCTGCGGAGCCTAGCCAGCTTACAGCCCCAGGTAACCTTGAGTCCAATAAGTGGTGGCATTTGGCATTCTATCCTTGAAAACTTTGTTAGTGGTGTCTCGGGATCAACTGTTTTCCAGCCCGTTTTAGCAGGGAGAGCACTGACTGACAGGTACAATGCTTACGAAATAAACTCTATAACAAGAGTGAAGCCTTACTTTATCGATGCTCTTCAGACTCAGCCAAAAGAGAAACAGAGCATAGACACTCAGGCAGCGTTTGAGAACTACCCCTCAAACAACACTGTTCCTGGACAGTCTTCTCAAGGGACAAGTGGACAACTACAAGCCAACCTGACTCCAGACCCCAGCACGCCTGTTGTTTTTGCGCTGATGCCTTACAGACATCTACCACTACTCCATGTGGATCAGAATCCATATAAACCCAGGAATGTGGTAAGGCACCTCAATATGCCTCAACTGTCATCATATAAAACAAAGGAGCTTGGAAAACCTCCCATGGGCAGGCCAGTGGAGACAGTGGAAACCACAGAGAGGTCTGCAAGCAGCAAAGAGGCAGACAAAAAGAACAAGAAGAAATGGACAAAGTAAATGATTTTATCAATGCATGAAAGCAAACATTTGCCAGAGGATTTAATAGACAGGCAATGAAAACTCTAGAAATTCTGTCTGTAGAGCTAAGATGGAGATAAACTGATGTAATAAGGGCAAAAGCTGGTGGTTTACCATATCAACTACTATAAAGCTGCACTATTTTTTTAACAGAATCCAAAATGTTAATATGAACACCTTGGTTTTTCCTACCCACCACCACCCCCCTCTAACTTTAAAAGTGATAACAAAATAAATGTTTTAAGACATAAAGGGAGTGTCACTACTCTAGCTTACCCATACCATCTTTCCACACACAAAAAAAGCCAATGGACTAAATAGCTTCCAAAACTGGTTTCAGCATAAAAATATTCTGTAAGGGGCTGGAGAGATAGCGAAGCACTTCTGCCCTTCCAGAGGACCCAAATTCAGTTCCCAGTATACACAATGGGCAGCTATAGTCACCTGTAACCCAAGATCCAGAGAATCCAACACCATCTTCTGGTCTCTGCAGGTACCTGTACATATGTGGCATTCACTCACACAGATACATACACACATACACACATACAAAAAGAAAACTAATAAAAATAAAATTTAGAAACCTTTTCAAAATATATACTGTAAAATTAGAAAACACCTGACGTTACTGACATTAAGCACTGTCTCAAGAGTAAATAAATGATTTTCCACTAATAGTTGACTGTGGTCAGAAGATTTTTTTGGCAGCTCATTTTTTTCTAAAGTGATTCAAAATAGTTTTGTGTGGGTAAAAGCTCTTCTACAAATTGATTGCATATAGCTACAAAAACTCATTTCTGAAACCTAGTCAGTGACTCAGTTTGATCTTTCCAACTCAGAACCCTCCCTCCCGAGCAGATCATAAGAGGCAGGACAGTATGTGAGACCCTCCAAAGGCATCAACCACACAAACTCCATGCTACTCCTACTGGATTCCAAGGATTTTTATTCCCTCATTTCATCAGCAAGATTACAATTTCCTACAGGACACTCAGTCTCTCTTCTTCTCCTCCTCCTCCTCCTCCTCCTCCTCCTCCTCCTCCTCATCCTCATCCTCCTCCTCCTCTTCTTCCGCCTCCTCCTCCTCCTCTTCCTCCTCCACTCATCTCTTCCCTTTTCCCTCCCCCTTCCCCTCTCCTTTTCCTTCCCCTCCCCGCACCACACTTCCTCTCTCTTCTGAGCCACACAGTACAATACCCACACAAAACGTGAGTAGCAAAGCTGACTCTCCATCTCAATTAATTCACCAATCACTACTTCCCACCATCCCTTATCCCTTATCCACTCTGGGCAGGTGTCTTTTTAACCACCTTTCAAGGGACAGCTTTATTTTTATCAGCTCCTATTTTCCCTCTTCTAATATAGCTCTCCAATGCAGAACCTATGTATATTTGCTTTCTTTTTCTGACCCCTTCCTCTTCACCAATATATACTTTAACTTTTCAAATTCTTGTTCAAAGCAGACTTGTTTTTGTTTGTTTGGTTGGTTGGTTTCTTTTGTTTTGTTTTGTTTTTTGTCTTTTTGAGACAGGGTCTCCTTGTAGTCCCAGCTGACCTGAACTCACTATGTAGACCAGGCTGGCCTTGAACTCACAAAGATTCACCTGCCTCTGCCTCCCAAGTGCTGGGACTAAAGGAGTGTGCCACCATGCCCAGCCAAAGCAGACTTGTTTTAAGAAGTGCTCCTTGACAAACCCTCTGAGTCACTTAAAACTACTTTGCTTATGTGTAATTCACATTTGCTGCCTTACTTCCTTCTTAGGAATATTTAAAGATACAGAAAAATGTGCATTTGTGTGCAAACTGCTATTAAACTTTTCATATTATAATATATATATATACCTATATCAAAGCTGACCATAAAATCTCCATATAAAGTCATGCTAACCTAACAAAATAGTATGCTATCACATTAAATCACATAATACTCCAAGAGGAAGGAGGAGGAGATGAGAAAGGAAAAAGTCTTAGAAATAGGAAACCTATTGTGATTAAAATAAACATGAATATATTTTTAGAAGAAATTTCTGTTGGTAATATTCAGATTTTCATCAATTAATAGAATGTAATCTTATCGTTGGGTATACTGTGGTAGTTATCTTAAAGGTATGTTAAGTTCACTATTAAATTATGAAATCATATGTCCACAAATTGGGATGCTATGTTTGAAAAAAGGCATCAACATAAAAAATGTGGCATTTCTGATAAAATAGACCCAGGGGCTGAGAATGTAACTGGATGGTGGAGTACCTGCTGAGCATGCATGAGGCCCTGGGTTTGATCCCTAGCACCTCCCCCAAAATGTTTTAAAACTTATTGCTATAAAACCAGTCTTGAAAAGTGGTCAAGTACACCACAGCATCAACCATGTTACAAAACATCCACAGTTTGAAATCAATGATTTGGATTTCAAGTATGAACTTGGGTTTCAATGGTATATAACCAGAGAGGAAATGTTGACAGAACTCAGGAAAGAGAAGTGCCCCTGATCATTAATTTTTACACTGATTAGATAGGCCAGAAGCTAGAAAAAAAGAACGTTACTGACAGGTCATAAGTTCAAGCCAATGCAGTAAAGTCAGAAAAGACATCATTAAGGCAGTGTAAAGATATATGGTCTTAACCACATATGAGCTACATAGTAAGACCTTGAAAAAAAAGTCATCTAATCTTTCCTTATCTGTAAAAGCAGAGGTAAGAGCAAGGATGATCTTGAACTCCTGAGCCTCCTGCCTCCAATCCTCAAGTGTTGGAATTAGGGCATGTACCATCGCACTCAGTTTATGAGGTACTGGGTATTAAACCTAGGGCTTTGTGCATGCTGGGCAAGCATTCTCCCAACTGAGCTACACCCCCACTCCAAAGCTAGCTCGTCATTAATGTACCTTTGAGTTCTACCTGCTATAAGAAGCATACAGCAAAGAAACTCTTCCAAGGAGTCTTTTCCAAGGAAACTTTTCAATGTACAGTGGATTCTTGGTCATGTCTGGCTGGCCCGGGAGGGGAGGGAGGGAGGGAGGGAGGGAGAGGGAGAGAGAGGGAGAGAGAGGGAGAGAGAGGGAGAGAGAGAGAGAGACAGAGAGAGGAGAGAGAGAGAGAGAGAGAGAGATGCTCTGACCCTGTTCAGCAAACTGGCACCACACAAATGGAAATTACAAATAAAGCAGAAGTCAACAAAGCAGATGGTGATACAGAGCTGGAAAAGGGCATGAGGTTTAACCCAAGAAACCAGTGAAGGTGATGGGAGAGGGCACTACTTTGATGAGCCAACTCAGGTTTAGAGTTTGACTCTCAGCTTGGTAGGCCCTATTCTCTACATAGTCAATACAAAAAGAATGGATTTATTGGTCAGGGGTAGACAGATTTACAGAGTTCCCAAGACTGGCATGTAGAAATGGAAAGCTAATGAACTGATTTCCAGTGAGATTTACAACTGGATATGCAAACTAAAATTCAAAATCATTCAGCCTATACAATCTTCCCACTCATATAAGCTACATGATAAACCAAACTATAATCAGAAGGTTACTTTGTGAATTTGAGGAGCTCACCATGTGATTCAAATGTTTGTACTATCAGATTCTGCACTTGTAGAGGACAGAGAGATCTGTCACTTGGAATGAAATAATGAGATATGAGGCTGGAGAGATGGCTCAGTGGTTAAGAGCACTGACTGCTCTTGAAGAGGACCCGGGTTCGATTCACAGCACCCACACGGTGGCTATTAACCATCCTTAACTCCAGTTCCAGGGGAATCCGAAGCCTCTTCTGACCTCAGCGGCATTGCACAACACGGGTGCACTCACATACATGTAGGCAATACACTCATACACATGAAATGAAAAGAATAAAAAAAAATTTGGTCTTTTTGAGACAAGGTCCCCCTGTAGCCCCAGCTGTCCTGGAACTCACTATGTAGACTAGGCTGGCCTTGAACTCACCAAGATCTGCCTGCCTCTGCCTCCCGAGTGCTGGGATTAAAGGTGTGTGCCACCACACCAGGCCAGTAAAATATTTTTTTAAAAAAAGAAAGAATGAGGTATGTATAAGGACATTTGTCTCCTGAAGTGTTTGCATAGACATGGGCTATAAGAGACAATGCAAACTCTATAACCAATTCCTGATATATCTAGCATATTGATTTTTGTTGTTGATGTTGTTTGAGGTTGCGTCTTGCTCTGTAGCCCAAGCTGGCCTAGTACCCATGTGTAGCCCAGATTGGCCTCAAACTCTAATCTCCCTCCCTCAGCTTCCTGAATGTAGGATTACAGGCATGAAGCACCACCCCAGATTTCTTGATTTTTAATGTTTCCTCAAGTTACAGTGTATTCTTGCTGACCTAAGAGTAAATCCCATTTCTTTTAATTTCTGCTACATACGTTTTTTGGCTCATGGTATATAGAATCCCAAAAGCTCAACTCACTGAATATAATTTTATTCATCTCATTTGCAAAGCTCTAAGAAAAGCCACATGGCAACTCACATTAATTAATACCGTTACTATCCAACATTTAGTAAGAGCTGTGCATTGGGTATTTTTAAGCACATACATATTGATTCATTCAATTCCTCCAACAACCCTATGAGGCAGGTTATTATAATGCCTATTTTACAAATAAGGAGATTGTGCCACAGAGAACCTGTAAAGGCTGAGCTGTCAAACCCAGGTCTGGCTCCATAATCTATGGGGGGGTTCAATATTTTATTATTTTTATTTTATGTGTATGAGTGTACTGCTTGCATGCATGTAAGTGCACCCGTGCTGTGCAATGCCTTCAGAGGTCAGAAGAGGGCATCAGATCCCCTGGAACTGGAGTTACGGACAGTTGTTAGCCACCATATGGGTGCTGGGAGTTGAACCCAGGTCCTCTGCAAGAGCGGTCAGTGCTCTTAACCACTGAGCCATCTCTCCAGCCCCCAGAACCCATGTTATTTATCATTATGTGTCAAGGCTTCTTGAAATAATAATATTCAACATCTGGAAAATCTAATATCCATTTAGCACCTTCCTGTGATGTTTCAGTAATCTGTTCAACCCACACCACTAGCGGGCATCTTTCAGGAAATAAGGAGTACTAAGGAAGCCAGGCGGGCTGTGTGATCTTGACTGGGAAATTTAAGGAAGTTCGAGAGGCCAGAGCTTTGGCCTTTAACTCACTCCCATTCCCCTTAACTCAGACCCATATACCAAACATAAATCCTGGGATTATCTGGCTCTTAGTGATGCACCAAATAGGAGTTGTTTCATTTTATTTAAAATTTGTTAAAATTAAGAGCACTTGTTTCCTTTAAAAAAATTAAAAGACTTATATAATATATGCCCAATTCCACTTCTGGGTATATACCCCAAAGAACTGAAAGTAAAGACTTAAGACATATTTGTCCACCCATTTTTTAAATGTTTTATTATTTTTATTTTCTATCTGTATGAGTGTATTGTCTGCATGTAGGTACGTGCACCCATGTCATGCAATGCCTGCAGAGGTCAGAAGAGGGCATTAGAGCCCCTGGAGTTATAGATGGTTGTTAGCCACCATGTGGATGCTGGGACTTGAACCCAAGTCCTCTGCAACAGCAGATAGTGCTCTTAACTGCTGAACAGATTATCTCTCCAGCCCCTTGTCCACCCATATTTACAGTAAAATTACATGACTCAAAACACCCAAAAGCTAGAAGTAAATAAATCAAGAAATTGTTCCTTGACATACAAATGGATAAACAACCTGTAATGTTTGTTACATAAAATAGAATGTCATTCAGTCTTAGAAGAAAAGAGATTTTTGATACATACCATATGTGAATGTACTTAAGGACATTATACTAAGTGAAGTAAAGAGTCACAAAAAAACAAATACTGCCTAAGTTCATTGATCTGACATACTTAAAGAATTCAAGTTGATAGAGGAAGTATAGTGATAGCTGCCAGGTGCTGGAGAGAGGGGGAGGTAGCGAGTTATTTAATAGGTCCATAGGTTCAGTTTTATAAAACAATGGATGGTGGGGACTATTGTACAACATTGCAAATGTGCTTAATACCAAATAATTGTACATTTCAAAAGAGTTAAGATGGCAAATTGTGTGTATGTCTGTGTTTAAGTACATGGGGGGGGAGCTGTTCACACACATGTGTACACATGCAGATGAAAACCAGAGGTCAATCTCAGGTTTCATTCCACAGGCTCTGTCCATTTTTTTTTTAATTCTTTTTTTTTCAAAGATTTTGATTTGTGTTTTATTTGGTTTTGTTTTTACTTTTGTTGAGACAAGGTCTCCCTGTAGCCCCAGCTGGCCTGAAACTTGCTATGTAGTCCAGGCTGGCCTCATTCTTACAGAAATACACCTGCCTCTGCCTCCCAAGTGCTGGGATTAAAGAGGCACACCGCCATGCCCGGCTGGTTTTACTTTTTTAATAAGAAGGTAAGCATTATAGTTGGGAATACTGAGGGGAAACTTGCTGGAAGTAGAGCATGACTGAAAGTACAAACTGTGGGGCAGGTGTGGTGGCGCACACCTTTAATCCCAGCACTCAGGAGGCAGAGGTGGGCAGATCTCTGTGAGATCTTGGCCAGCCTGGTCTACATAAAGAGTTCCAGGCTAGCTGGGGCTACAGGGAAACCCTGTCTCCAAAAAAAAATTTAATTATGAGTCTTGGATTTCTTTTTCAATTATTATTGCTTATGTGAGTATGTGTATGCATGCACATGTGTGTGCAGGTGGGCTTATATACACAGATCAGAGGATGACTTTGAGTATCATCCTTAGAAATGTCATCCACCTCTTTTGAGAAAGGCTTTCTCGTTAGCCTGGAGCTCACCAAATAGTCCAGGCTGGCTAACCAGCAAGGCCCAGGAATCCTCCTGTCTCTGCCTTCCCAGCACTGGGATTACAAGTGAGTGCCACCACACTCAATGCTTTTACGTGGGTTCTGGGAACTGAACTCATGTCCTCTTGCTTGCAAGGCAAGCACTTTACTGACTGAGCTATCTTCTCCACCTGGGATTTATTTTCTGTAACAAAAATACTAGTATTTGTTATAATCAGATTGAAGGAGAAAAAGGTTCATTTTAATATTTTGTTTCCATAGTTAATACTAACAATGAAAAAGCAAAATGTCCACGGTCACAGAAGACATTAAAATAATTATAAGAAAAATATTTTGGGAAGTTTCTTGCTAACAAATCTACATGAGATATTCTAATAAAACATAAATTCTAATATTGATCGAGAAAGAAAACCAAGCAAACAAATAGTCATATAAGTTAGAAAAAGATAAGCAAAGATCTACTTCTAAAAGTGTCAACAAGCCCAGATCACTTTACAGGCACATTCTGCATCTTCCAAAGAGCAAACTGCACAACAATTTCTATCATTCAAACTACTCCAGAGCATGGAAAAGATCTGGAAGTCTTCTACATTCATCTTAAAGGATAGATTAACCCTAATATCAAAACTGCATAATGAAAATACAAACAAACTATGGTATGATCTTACTTAAAATATCTGGGGCTGGCAAGATGGCTAAGTGGGCAAAGACACTTGCTACCAAGCCTGAGGTCCCAAGTTCAATCCCTCAATGCCATGTGGTGGAAGAAGTGAGCCAAGTCCTACAAGTTGTCCTCTGACCTACGTACACTCATTGTGGCAGGCACACATACAACACACACACACACACACACACACACACACACACGATAAATACATGTATTTTTTTAAATACAGATCTGAGCTGAGTGTGTTGGCACACACCTTTAATCTCAGCACTTGGGAGGCAGAGACAGGCAGAGCTCTATGAGATCAAGGCCAGCCTGGTCTACATAAGTTCTAGGCCAGCTGGGGCTACAGAGAAACCCTGTCTCCAAACAAACAGAAAATACAGATCTGATGTCACATAAGCAAAACATAAATGAATCAAATTCATCAAGTCATTAGGCAAGCGGATCTTTGTGAGTTCGAGGCCAGCCTGGTCTACATAGTGAGTTCCAGGCCATCTGGGGCTACAGGGAGACCATTTCGAAAAGACCAAAAAAAATTTTTTTTCTCATTTAACACATTCAACATATGGGCCAAAATTCTGAGCAATCAAGATAATTACACCCTTGAGCAACTGATTTTTTTATTCCTCACTGTTCCATTAAGTTGACTTCTACCCCAGGAGTCTTCCTCAGTTCTAAAATAAGAGAACAAAAAATTACCTAAGTAAGACAATACAAAAGAATAGAACTGTAAGGGGAGGGCTGTGTTAGCTTTTAAATCCTTGTTTTTCCATTTGCACTCAATAGTGTATCTAATGTTTAATTTTCTCTTCAAAGAAAAATCTCAATTTAAAAGAACAAAAAAAGTTTTAACATCTAAAAGAGTATGCTGCACAGCTTTCTACAAAAGTTAGTAAAAACACTGAAACAGAAAAAAATTAAGAAAAATCTTTATTCTAAGTTACATAATGCTATCATCATAATAAACTTATAGCTTGGTATAGGACTTTTTAAAATAAATATTGCTGGCAGGTAGAAATTTTTTCTTTGCTGTCTTAAAATAGGAGAGTTTTTACTAGCTCATAATGTGAATGTTAATTTAAGGAAATGTCACTTTTATGAACAAATTGATATTCTGGGGGGGTGCCACATTCCTTCTTCCCAAGGAAAAGGAATGCATCCCACTTACTTGAAGTGCTCTCTCTACATATGCATACATACACATATATGTACATGGGTGCATAGGTATATATTCAACAAATATTTGCTTTTGAGATTTCCTCTTTTAACTGATTCCCTATTCTGTGTGACTCTCAAACTTTCACATTTTATTCAGTCATCAAGCATGTACTGAGTTCCTTCTTCATATCTAATCTGATTACATATGGAAGGACGATATATAAGAAAAATTAGTCACCACCCTTCAGAGTCTTGGAAGCTCTTCTGTGGGCAAGATAAAACGAGAGCTAACATTAGGTAACTTGAAGCTAATGCTACAAAGCCAATGATGCATTCTACATGTATACAGAATTTTAGAGTCTTGAAACATTTCCCGGCAATTAATTCTGGGAGCACTCTTGTGAAGAACACATTAGCCCCATTTTAGCAATAAGGAATCCGAGGCTCCGGATTTTAAGCAACATGCCTCAAACACACAGATTATAAATGGAAGAGTCGAGACTCAAGCCATCAAGCCACGGTATTCTGATTCTAATCCCAGTGCTCTTTTCAATGCAGCATAGGAAACGAGGGATGGGATAATTCAACAAGAAGACATCCAGCATTCTGCTGTATGTGGAACCAGGTTGATCTGCACCCACACAGAGTCCAGTCAAGTGTCTAATTTTATTCTGCAAATATTTGTACTACTGTATAATAGAGCACAACTATCATTTCTTTAATCTTACTGCCTCTGCCTCCCCAAGAGTTCTGCTCTCAGAAATGGGGATGTGGAATATAACAGAAAGCTGCCTTAACGGACTCAGGAATCTTAAGCCACAAACATCAATCTTGAAAGTCTAGTTTCTATTAATCCTTGCACGTGTTGATTTCCCTCAGCACTGGAGAGCCTAACTCGCCCACCCTTTTCCAGCATTCTTGCTCCAAATAACTACTTATTTTAAGATGTGAATGGCCGATGCCTACAAAATGCTACAAGTTTGCCCAAATTTCATGACCCGTGCCCCGGCCCAGACATCTTTCCCTCCCTCAGGATGAGAGGCTACCGAGTTCAGATTCTGCAGGTCCGGTCGCGATGCTGTCACTCAGCACGGACAAGTAAGATTTGACCTTTCGACTCCGTCCTTGGGGACCTCCTGCTGAGCTCGCGGTGCGGTTCCAAGCCCGGGAAAGGGGCCGTCCACTCGGGGACGCAGCTCCAGGCAGCGCCCGGTCCGAAGCGACGTCTTGTATCGCGACCACAGTGAGGGGCGCCGGGGCGTGCATCACTCCGCCTCATACTCCTGTCGACTGCAGAGGTCCTGCAGCCAGTCCATTCCAGCCCACGCTCGAGTCCGGACAGCCGGACCTTACACGGCACCCCGGACAAAGGCCGCTGGCACGGACGGCGGCGACGGCAGAAGCCCTAGCCACCGGGCCGCGGTGCCCATAGCCTCCAAACCCAAGACCGGGGCAAGACTGGACCGCAGAAAAGCGTTTCTATGGGAACCTCCGGGGCATCACGTGATGCTCCCAGGTGGCCAATCGCGTCTCAGCGCTGCCCGCTGGCTTTCGGCCCACCCTCCGCCCCCGCCTCCTTCTCAGACTCCGCCCCTTTCCTGCAGCGAGTCCGCGCCTGCGCAGTGCGTCCCGCGCGCTCCCGGGCTGAGGCGCGCTCCCGGGGGAGAGCCGGGGCGGCGTCGGATCCCGAAGGAAAGAGCGGGGTAGTGGAGGAAACCAGGCGGCCAGCGCGCAGGCCCAGAAGCTCACGAGCCGCGGCTGCCGGCGACGCCCCTGAGCGGAAGAGGGAAGTGAGGCGGACGCCGGGCTGGGCTGGGTTGGGCTGAGCTCGCTGAAGGGAAGGCCTGCGCCGTTCGGGATCCGGTATGTCGAAGAACACGGTGTCGTCGGCCCGCTTCCGGAAGGTGGACGTGGATGAGTACGATGAGAACAAGTTCGTGGACGAGGAGGACGGGGGCGACGGCCAGGCGGGGCCCGACGAGGGCGAGGTGGACTCCTGCCTACGGCAATATCCTTGCGCTGGCGGGGGCGCGGGGAAGGGGCCGGGGGACCGAGCCGGGGGACGGGGCTCCGGGGTCAGGTGGCCGAACTTGCCGGCGTCCCGGTCCCGATCCCTAGGGTGCGCCCCCTCGACAGCTGCTCCCGCGGCCGCTCCCCGTGGCGCGCCAGGTCCCCGCTTCCGGGGGTCCTAATGCGGGGAGTCGGGCCGCTACCCGGGAGTCCGCCTCCTCTGCATGGGTTTGTGGGTTAGGGAGCGTTGGGATAGTTTATTACTAGCCCGGAGCGATCGCAAATTGAGGCCCTGAGTCCATGCAGCCCATGGGCTTTTCATCATCATCATCATTATCATTAAGAGAACAGCTTTTGGCAAAATGCAGGTTGCACAAAATTTAACAGAGAAGGGAGTTTTCTTCCCAATAAGGAAGCGTGGAGCCTTTTACCTACTAAGAAAAGGCCGATGGAAAAATGATAGGGAATGCATGTGGAGTATCCCTGGAAATGTGGAGAGTAGTCATTTCTGTAAAGTAGAGTCGTTTTTCTGTAATTGTTTCCTTTTTAGTTAAAATATGCCTGTCAGTTCCTGGTTCCTTGGTTTGCATATTTGAATATTCATAACCTTGAAATACGGTTATAGCATATCTCTTTTAGAAAAATGGAAATGTAGCCGGGCGTGGTGGACACTTGGGAGGCAGAGGCAGGCGGATCTCTGTGAGGCCAGCCTGGTCTACATAGTGAGTTCCAGGACAGCTTGGGCTACAGGGAGACCCTGTCTCAAAAAGACCAAAAAAAAAGAAAAATGGAAATGTAAAAAAACAAAGTTATAGCTTCAGGAAAATGTCAGATTGGTCTTTGGTGTATCATAAAGCTCTTTCCTCATCAGTTTTCTGCTAAATTGTAATAGAGATATGTTTGTGAGCAAAACATTTATCAGTATACCATATAGGTTCAACTTTCATTTCCACAACTTTCACAATCAGTTGCTACTAATCTGATTATTTAAATACGTGGCTCTTTAAAAAAAAAAAGGGGGGGGGTGCACTGTAGAAATCCTTTCAGCCTTGACTATAGTTTACCATCAACTGTAAATGATTTTTAGTAGGACTTTTTCTCCAAAGTGGTGAGCATTATTCTTTCTAAAAACATTCTTTGTCTTGATAAATGATTTTTTATTACAGTCATGTGTTTCAAGTAATTTCTGAGGACTCCTACATGGTGGTGCTGTGCCCATATCAGTGAGTTTACTTTTTGATCAACTCATCCTAAAATCTAAAGCCAAGTCTGGTCTTGTCCTTGTTATAAACTGCGACAGCCGGCCCTGGTTGGGTGCTACAGATGGAGGAACAAGTGAGTCTGTGGTTTTCCTTTTAGGGAAATGACTGTATATTCGACAGTCTGATTGGCCTTCCATTTCTCAGGCTTGCTAGCTCACTAGTGCTTCCAGACAGACTAAATTTAATAGGTTTAAATAACAGTTTGAATAACCTTTATGAAATAAAGAATAAGAGAATAAGTTGCCACCTAAGGGTTGTATGAATTCTTACATCTTCTATGATTGATCTTCATCATTAGAGATTGCTTCTGTTTCCTTCTGACGGCCAGAGTGATCTGCCAGCATTTTCTGCTACCATTTCACTTAACATAGAGTATAGTTCCAGGATAAAGGGTTTTTTTTTCAATAAGAATCATGTAAAAAGACATACTTTGTTTAATGATAGACTTTCATTTGGAGACCTGATAATTCTGATGCATATTTTGGGGTTTTCTTTTAATACCAGCCTAGATGATGTACTTCACTGGAAAACAAAAGGTTATCCAGGTATTCATTTGATTGATAGAACCAGGAGCAAAAGAATCTTTTGCTTTATTTTTTTAATTCTTATATCCTCTTTCTCTATTTTCCTTTTTGCTATATTGGAACAAACACATTCAGTTTTCTAGTATCAAACATAATAGCCATGGTAGTTTTTGTTACTGTGCATAAAGCCAAGTCTTAAAAACTGATAGTCTGCATAAGCTTTCCCAGGTACTGTTATCTCCTTAACCTCTATCACAGGAAACATGACAGCTGCTCTCCAGGCAGCTCTGAAAAACCCCCCTATCAACACAAAGAGTCAGGCAGTGAAGGTGAGTCACAGACTATAACCCATTAGTCTCTGCTAGCATCTTACTGTTCTTACCAAAATCCTCCAAAGTGTCACCATCAACATATTTTAACTGTTTATAGTCTGACACAGAAGATTTTACAGTGTAAATTCTTGATAGGTAAAAATTTCATATGAGGGGCTGGAGAGATGGCTCAGGGTTAAGAACACTGGTTGTTCTTGCAGAAGACCTGGATTCGAATCCCAGTACCCACATGGCAGCTAACAACTGTCCATAACTCCAGTTCCAGGGGATCCGATGGCCTCTTCTGTCTGCGGGCATTGCACAACACGGGTGCACTTACCTACATGCAGGCGATACACTCATACACATAAAATAAAAATAATAAATAAAATATTTTTAAAAATAAATAAATAAATAATTTCATATGAAACTAGCACTGTAATGTAGAATTAGGGTAATGCTATGTGGAACACAGTAAATCCAAAGAATAGAGATACTGTTTCTGTGTGTGCTTTAAAAGAAATCCACTCAGGTTGAATTTAAGCAAAGGCTTGAAGAATAAAGTATACAACTTCTGTTTGATTTAACTTATTTCTTAATTATGCAAATATTAAATATTTGTTATAGGAAACAAAGACCTGAGGACATGAAAGGGTGATCATACCACTCCTTGGGTCACATTTTAGTATTACTGTGTGCTTTGAAAGTTTCTCCAAGGGTTTTTGTTCTTAGAAAAATAGAATCTTACAGCCCACTTTTTCACCTGTATTGCAGTGTACACCAGCTTCTTTCCTTAGCACTGTGTTCGTTTCTTTAGCATTTAACTGCTGTGTACCAGTATGCTGCATTTTATATATAACTGATCTCTTCTTATATATTAGATTGACTGGTTTGTCCTGCTAAAATGGATAATCTTAGGTAATTTTTAATTATTTCTTTTTAAGTAAAATTCCTGGAAGGGAAATGCTAGTCAAAGAATGCACATTTTTATCAGGTATGGAAGAACAAGCCTTTAATCGCAGCAGCTCAGGAGGTAGAGGCAGGCAGATCTCAGATCGAGGCCAGTCTGGTCTTCATAGCCAGCTACAGAGAGACCCTGTCTCAAAAAAAGAAAAAAAAAATGAATGCACAGTGTTTTAAGACCTTTGGTATAGTAGGTATTGCCAGTCCTTTCAGGAAAGTTGGGGAGTTTACAACCCCTGCAGAAGTCTTTCACAGTTCTAAGGGCCTATTTACTTTGTTGTTTATTATTTAAAATGAAAGCTAATGCATCAGCCCTACTGTCAGTAACTATATATACATACCAGGAACTCAAGAATCTCCTTACCTGAATGGTAGTGATAGGTAACTGTATTGTACTTAGCTAGGCAACAAAATTTTGTATAAGGGGAAAATTGTCTTTGATTTTTAAAAGTTGTTAGGAACATCACTGAAGCTTTAGTTTTACCCCCTTCTGCTTTTATGAGGGTGGTTTTTTTTTATCACAGCTTGTGGGTGGGAGGTTATAACTCTAGATGCAAAGATGTTTTTCTAAGTGGGGAAATTGCACAGTTTTTAAACTGAAGATAGCACTAGGTAGTAGAATTGTTCTATAAAATCCTGGCCTTAAGAATGCTGTTGGTGTCTGAGTTGAAGAGAAGGAGAAATAAATTGTTGAAAAGATAAGTTACATGTTCCCTCTGCTAGATGTGTGGGTAAGAAAATACCTTTTTTTCCCGGAGCAGATTTTATCATGAAAAAAGATCAGACAGGAGCATGACTGATCTAATATCTATAGATAGGGCAGTTGAAATAACTTAAAATTTTTAGAAGGAAGATTTTAACAAAATAATCCTTTTGAAGGGTAGTTCAAGGTAGAGTTATGACTCAGTTTCTTTTTTTTAGAAAATATTTTTTAAATTTTATTATTTTTATTTTACGTGTATGCGTGCATTGCCTGCATGTAGGTAAGTGCACTCATGTTGTGCTATGCCCGCAGAGGTCAGAAGAGGCTGTCAGATCCCCTGGGACTGGAGTTACGACAGTTGTTAGCTGCCATGTGGGTGCTGGGATTTGAACCCGGGTCTTCTACAATAACAACCAGTGTTCTTAAGCCCTGAGCCATCTCTCCAGCCCCATGACTCAGTTTCTTTTGTTAGGATTTTTTTTTTTTAAGGCCAAGAAATAAAATTGAAATGTAATAAACTGTTCAGTTATCACGTTGATCTATTAGTAAATCCTCAGTTCTACCTTCAGTTATGGCAATATCAAGAATCTGTTCCCCTCTTACCGCCTCTACTCCTGTCATGCTAACCAAAACCAGACTGCATTGTTGAAATTACCCTAATGAGTATCCCTGCTCTGGTCTCAGTCCCTGTCGCTGTTCTCAGCAGAGAGGACAGAAAGATCCTGTTAGAATGGGGCTCAGATTATGTCACTGCTCTCTAAACCCTCCATTGTTGTGTTTCAGAGTAAAAGCCAGGGTCCTTAGAGCAACCGGCAGGCCACCATTCTCTCAGTTCCTCCTGTGCTTCTCTCCCACCACTCAAACGCTAAGCACTCTGAACCCACGCCAAACAGCACTCGTTCTTTCCTTTGTCAGAATGCTCAGTATCCCCAAGGCGTCTTTGACATCCTCCCCATGTCTTTCCTCAAATGTTACTCCAGTGAGGTATTTCTAAAATTTGCTCCCAATATGCATATGTCTGAATGTTTCCTTATGTACTTCCCTCAGGATCGGGCAGGCAGCATTGTCTTGAAGGTGCTCATCTCTTTTAAAGCTAATGACATTGAAAAGGCCGTTCAATCTCCAGACAAGAATGGTGTGGACCTCCTAATGAAGTATATTTATAAAGGCTTTGAGAGCCCATCTGACAACAGCAGTGCTATGTTATTACAGTGGCATGAAAAGGTAAGTTATGAATCAAAAATATGTATGACTAGTTCCTTTATAATAGAGAACAATGTGTCTGTCGCCTGAATAACAACAAAGACTTGATTGTACATCTTTATTATTACAAGTAAGATGTATGGAAATGAAAGGTTCAGATTTGGGCTTATCAGCCTTGGTCTGAAGAGATTCTGATATGCACCACATATTTGTTTGCATATATTTAGGGCATATCTTATTCACTACACACTGTATTGAACTGTGAATTAAATGAAGACCTTTCAAAAGAATATCAAGTAAAAAGTCAAGAATTCTTTCACACTGATCAAAAGATGGGAAGATAAATATGTGATACCTCCATACAGTGGAGTATTACTCATCAATAAAAAAAAAATGAATTTTTTTATAGGTACTGCAATGTGGGTGAACCTAGAAAATGTTATACTAAGTGAAATAAGCTGGACACAAAAGGACAATTTCTATGTATATGAAATAGGCAAATCAAAGGGACAGAAAGTTATTAGAAATTGCTAGGGACTGTGGAGAAGGTGAAGAATAGGAAGTTATTACTTTCTGGGTACAGAGTTTCCATTCAGGGTGGTGAAAGAATTTGGATAATAGAGTATGCTGGTGGCTGCACATTGTAAGTATAATTAATGCCACTGAGTTTTACATAAAAGGATGCTAAAATAGCTACTTTTGATAGATATTCTACCAAAGTTTTTCAAAAAAAGAAATCAGGAAGCTGGGTGTGGTAGTACACACCCCAATCCCAGGACTCAGGAGATAAAGGTCGGTGGAGTTCTGTGAGGTTCCAGCCTTGTCTACATAGCGTTTTCCAGGCCATCTGGGAGACCCTGTCTTTAAAAAAAGAGGGAAAATCAAAAATTCTTAAATGCCTATTTCCACTTTCATGCATTTTATTTTTCTCTGTAAGGAAATTCTGCTGTACCATCTATCAGAGAAAATGATAGAAGGGCTGGTGCTGTAGCTCAGCAGTAGAGTGCTTGCCTAGCATGACCAAGGTTTGATCCCCAGCACTGTTTTAAAGAAATAAAACTGTTAGTAGCTGGACATGGTAGTGCATGCCTTAATCCTAGCACTCTAGAGACAGAAGCAGGAGGATCATTGCAAGCCCTGGGCTACATAGCGAATTCTAGGCTAGCCAGTGCTACATTAAGAGGCCCTGTCTCAGAGATAAGAAGAAAGCTAATTTTTAGTTCTAAGTAAAAAGTAAGATAGGCCAGCAAGATGGCTCAGTGGGTAAAAGCACTAACTGTCTACAGGCACGCACGTGTGCGCGCGCGCACACACACACACACACACACAGAGAGAGAGTCCTAGTTTGTTTCTTCATTGCTGTGACAAAATACTCTGACCAAAACCAAATTGGAGAGGAAAGGGTTTATTCAGCTTACATCTCCCAGATCATGGTTCAACTCAGGGCAGGAACCTGGAGGCAGGAGCTGGGAGCATAAGCCATGGAAGATCGCTGCTTACTGACTTGCTCCCCTGATCCCTCCTCAGCCTGCTTTCTTATACAACAGAGGCCCACCTGCCCAGGGGTGGCATGACCCACAGTGGGCTGGGTCCTCCCACATCACTTAACTATCAAGAAAATGCCCCACAGACATGGCCACAGGCCAGTCCAATGGCGGCAACTCCCCAATTGAGGCTCCCTCAACCCAGGTGTGTCAAGTTGACACTAAAGGTATCCAACACGCACACGTACATGCACACGCACAAATAAATAAAATTTTACAACTTTGTTAAAGTTAATTCTACCCAGCTCTTACACTGGTAAGTAAAGAGTACATTCTCAGGGCTGGAGAGATGGCTCAGCAGTTAAGAGCACTGACTGCTCTTGCAGAGGACCCAGGTTTGAGTCCCAGCACCCACATGGCGGCTGCAAACCATCCTTAACTCCAGTTCCAGGGGAATCTGAAGCCCTCTTCTGACTTCTGCGGCAGTGCATGACACAGGCGCACTCACTTACATGCAGGCAATACACTTACACACATAAAATAAAAATGAAAAAAAAAAGTACATTCTCCAACATTCTTAAACCTCTCAAAACTCAGGTTTTTTTCTTTATTTTGTGCATGTGTGTTTATGCATGAGTACCTGATCAGAAGACAGCTTTCAGGAGTTGGTTTTCTCCACCTTGTTTTGCGGCAGTCTCTGTTGTTTCTGCCACCACACTCTGCTCTCCAGGCTAGCTGACTCGAGAGTTTCTGACTGGTTCTCTTATCTCCACATCTTGCCATACAAGTGCTGGGATTACAGATAGGGAGCCACCAAATCTGCATCTGGCTTTTTACATGGGTGAAGACGATCAAACTCAAGGTGTCAGGCTTGCACAGCAAGTACTTTGACCTGCTGACCCACCTCACTAGCTCCCAGAACTCAGTGTTTTTGAAACCATTACCTCGAGTCTATCAAGTAAAAACACATATACAGTAAAACAAGAAAGTTTGTTGTTAAACCTTGGTTAAATCACTTTCTCTTCGTACACTATCAAAAAGAGCTAATGTTTATGAATACAGTAACCATTCTGCACAGTATTCCCAGTGCCCATCATAAGTATGAGTAGTACATGCTACCAGGCACTATACTAGTTTACTTTTCATTTAATCCTCACAATAACTCTGAGGTATGTGAACATCTCTGTTACCTTCAATGTGTAGATGAAGAACAACCTCAACCCCAAGCAGCTTTGGTCCAAAACAGCAGCAGGATCATGGTGAACATTGATTGGGAACTTACTATAATCCAAACATTCTCCTGAGAACTTTATAAATATGTCAACTCATTTAATTCTCAAAAAATGCTAGGAAGAAAAACTTACCCTCATTTTTTTGTAGGTGAGAAACTGCTAGCAGGCGTTAAGTCTTTGTTTCTTCCTAAGCTCATTGGCTGGATTTTACTTTCTAAGTACTCAAATCTGTCCACATAAGCATGTATCTAGTACACCAATCACAGCATCTCTAGGTGGCTGCTGTATCTTCCTAACTGGTTTGCCAGCTACCAGTTTTGCCTTCCTCAAATCTGTTCTCTATCTAGCCACCAGAATGCTATGTCCTTGTCAGTCATCAGAATGATGTCCAAGTTTCCAAGTCTAGTTTCCTCTTCCATATCATCCTTCCCTTAGGCTTCAGCAGTGCCAGCCTTCTCCCTGAATGCACCCCACCTTTACCTCCACATGTCAGCTCATGGTTTCTGGTATCAGTTTGTCAGCCTCCCCTGTGGCTTTCCTCTCTGCTCTCAGGCTGGGTATATGCCCATTTTCTGTTTATATAACTATCTCATAGCAGACCAAAGGATGGTGTGTTTGTTCACTTCCGTATCCCCAGAATCTAGTGCAGTACTTAATACACAGTGGTACTCGAGTATTTTTTTAATAGAAATAAACCAGAGTTTCCAATTCGTAATATTTAATCATGACTACCAGTTTATTCAGGTTAGAGGGTCAGTCACAGTTCATAAAAGCTCTTCAATAATATCTTACCTTGGGAGAAAAAAATCTAGCAAACTAAGTGGAATTGAGATGACTTGTCCCAATTTAAATTTCTTCGTAACTGTGATAACAATTGGAGATGCAGAATATCCTAAATTTATATTTGAACACCTGCTTGGGTCAAGAACATTGTGCTATAGACTTTTTTAAACATTATTTAGACAAAATGTACTAGATTATAAAGTAGTGTCTATATTTGGATGTAAGCTTGAAAGAGCAGGACTACTGAGGGGTTGTTTTTGTTTTTTAAGTCCTAGTGCTAAGAACTGCCTGGTGCGTAATAGGTGCTCAGGAAGTACTTACTAAATTAATGAATTCACAATGCTTTGCTTAATCTGAGAGTTGACCCTTTTTGAATCTGTGAATGTGTGCATTTGATTTGTTTTAGGCACTTGCTGCTGGAGGAGTAGGGTCCATCGTTCGTGTTTTGACTGCAAGGAAAACTGTGTAGTCCAGCCGGAACTGGACATCAGTAACAGGGTGGGAGTTGCTGGTACAAAGACCAAAACAACCAAATGCTACTGCTGCCCTGTGGGCAGCATCTGTTTCTCTCAGCTTTGCCTTCTTGCTTCCTTTTTCATATCTATAAAGAAGAAATTACATATCAGTTTTCCTTTAGAGAAAATTTGATTCCGCAGGAGTGTTTGATCCTTTCATAACCATGTCAATAATGTGTATACCAGAATAATTTATATTCACGTTTGATTGTGCAATTTCTAATCCTGTTGGCTGGTTTCTGGATTTTACTTTATTTTTAACTAATAACTGAGAGATATGATCAGAATTTGAGGCCAGTTAACTCATGAGTCAGGAAGTGATGTTTGTTTTTAAAAATGAGAGATTGGCAGCTATTAACATTGCAAAACTGGACCAAGCTTATTTACGTTATTTAAGCAAAATATATTTCCAGAACGAGTAGTGGGTGAATCCCACTACCAGTTTCCAGCTTTATTTCTGCTTGCTTGCAGATGATGCTGTGAGTGTAAGTGTGCTGCTTCCTGTCAGCATCCATTTATCATGGCCTCTTAATCTCCTTGTGGTCATCCAGGGTCCAGAGCAAGAAGTCTTGCTCTATGTAAATGTATTTAGAAAATTTCAGAGCCTATTTGGGCACAATATCACACTTTTGTTCCAATAATAAGTCTATCTAGGGAAATTACTCCAAGTCAGAAAGGATGTAGAAACTGATGTAATTCAAACTCCAGCAGCCTCTGAATGATACAATATTTTCTTCAGAAATAAGGCAGCTGCCTTAGACACTTGTACAAGTGCTCACTATAGCACTTAATGTGCCCTATAAATGTCGTCAGTGTTCTTCAGGTAATCGGGATTTAGGGATTTGGTTCTGAAACATTCTGTGTTTCAGCTCAGTATTTTTTAAGGAGTGACAATGCCACACAGTAAAAAAAAGTGTTTACTTTGTTGGACAAACCAAATCAGTTCTCAAAAAATGACCGGTGCTTATAAAAAGTTATCATAAAGTAGTTCCAAAACAAACCACCCAAATGCATATGACCCAAGAGGAAAATCAGCCTGTGTTTAGTATTTGCATAAGATACTGGTTCCATAGTCACTGGCTTGTGTGAGAACTGGTGCAGGAATTCTCTATAAACTCTGCTGGTTTTGATACCTACTTTTTGTTTTCTTCTTGTTTTGTAAAAACGATAAACTTCAGAAAATAAAATGTCAGTGTTGAATAATTTATTTGTCTTAATACCTGTGAATCTATGATTAAGAGGAAGGCATTCTACTGCTGTTGCCATGTCTGGGTGGATTTATAAAACCACTTTATATGAACACCGAGTGTCGAGAAGAGCACTGATGATGTGCCAGCACTGCTGAAGCCTTTGGAGTGATGGATCCTCTGGGTACCAGCAGGACACTGGGACTGCAGCACAGACTCACCCAGCAGCTGCAGGCACCTCCAGCTTCTGAACGACTCCTTGTTAGCCTCAGACCTGTTTCTCACACCTGTCTATTCATAGCAACCTCTGTCTGCTTTTCAGTGCATCTGACTAATTCCTGTTTTAAATCAGGATTGTGACTTGAGAGAATAGCAATAGGAATTAGAGGTAGTCAAGTAGGTACAACACAATCACTTTAAAATAAAAACAAGATTGTAGTGCCTTTTCAGAGATGCTGCTTATTACTGCCCCTATGACCTGAAGTATTAGAGAAAGTTCTGGAATTCATATCCTGTAATCACAAGAGTGGGTGTATTTTTTATTTTTATTATTGTTATTATTTTGTGTAGGTGCTGGAGAGATGACTTGGCAGTCAAAAGCACTTGCAGAGGACCAGGGTTCAGTTCCCAACATCTACATGATGACTGCAACAGTCTATAACTCCAGTTCCAGGGGATCCAGTGCCCTCTTCTGGTCTCTCTAGGCATTGTATGCACATGGTACACAAATACATGCAGACAAAACACATAAAGATTTTTTTTTTTAATTATGTGTATATATGTGGGTTTGTGGGTATGTGCATGTGATTACAGTGCTTGTGGAGGCCAAAAGAAGACATTGCCTCCCCCAGGGCTAGAGTTAAAGGTAGCAGGCAGGTCCTCTGTTTTTCCTGAATAGAGCTGGTCGGCTGACAGATTTAAACATACCCACTCTGGGGCTAGAGAAATGACTCAGTAGTTGGGATTCTATGCCGCTTCTTGGGTGCTAGGTACTGAACTCAGGTTTTTGTGCTTATGCAACAAGCACTTTACAGACTCGGCCATCTTCCCCAGCCTCACAAAAGCTGCTTTACCATCTCCCTTCTGCTTTCATCTCAGTGGTTTGGTGTTTTGTTTTGTTCTTTTTCCATTTTTAGACATCCAGACTGGCCTCAGACTCACCGCAGTCCTCCTGCCTCAGCCTCGTATGCACTGGGATTACAGGTATACACCACACTTGTTTTCACCTTTTTTTTTTTTTTTTTTTTTTGAGACAGGGTCTCCCTAAAACCCCATCTCACCTAGAACCAGGCTGGCCTTGAGCTTGCAGAGATCTGCTTGCCTCTGCCTCCCAAGTGCTGGAATTAAAGGCGTGTACCACTATGCCTGGCATTTTCACTAATTTTTAAGGGACAAATAATGAGGCATAGGAATCTCAACATTCAAGAGGCCGAGGCAGAAGGAGCATGATTCAGTCTGAGCTACATAGCAGGAACCTGTCTTTTAAAACCAAGAGCTGAGAGTGTAGCACAGGGTGAGCACTTACCTAGCATATCCTGGGTCTTCAGTTCAATCCCCACACCAAAAGAAGGAGATACAAATACAAAGTATGATGGCAAGTATCAGGAAATGCATTAATGCGCAAGTAAAGTCAGTATACAGATAGTACAAATCAACCATATTGTAAGAGCATATCAGAAGCATATGGTCTGGGTCCTGTTTATTTCAACCATATTAAGATTTGGGTACTTGAAAATTAATGTGTAACTTAGCACTTGACTATAAATGTAGTCAGTACTGAGAACAGCAAGATCAGAGTGGATCAAAGTACAGTGAGACAAATCTGAAAAAGTTTTCTAAGGCCAAAGAGTCAAAGTGTCTGAATGAAAAGTTTAAAAATGGGTTGATTCACTCTTAGGGATTTAATGTTTCAATAAAGTGAAATTCTAGACAGTGAAAGCTATGAAAAGAATTATACATTGATAAAAGTGTGTCTCAGGGATTCAAGACAGGGAACTACAGAAAATCACATAGTTGACTTTTTGTTGGTTGGAGGCAGGACATTTGGTTCTGGTTGGTTTTTGGTTTTAGCTGAAATAGACATAATTGGTCATTTAGCCCCATGCATTTGATCATAGTGAAAAGGAATGGGGAAATTAAAAGAGGGAATGGATCTTAAATTGGATATAAAGAGCTGTTCATGGGGCTGAAGAGGTGGTTTGGTGGTTAAGAGCACTGACTGCTCTTTCAGAAGACCCAGGTTCAAATCCCAGCATCCAATGACTGCTAACAACCATCTGCAAATCCAGTTCCAGGGGATCCAATGCCCTCTTCTGGCCTCCATGGGCACTGTACAACACACATTTGCAGGCAGAACACTCATACACATTAAATTTTTTTTTTAATGATTAAAGCTGGACTGAAGATCCAGTTCAGTGGTCAAAAGTACTTGCTGCCCTGTTACAAGGACCTGAATTCAGAACCCAGCACCCACTAACAAGCCAGAATCACGCAAAAAGCACCTGTAACTCTAGCTGAGGCATTGGATGGTCCACATGCACACACCTGCATACATATATACATAGAAATTATTAAATGGCTATGGGTGAATTTACCCTTTATTCTTGATCTTTTAAATTTTTCATTTATGTTTTCTATGGTTCACCCTTGTTTTTTGTTGCTTCTGAGACATCAGTATAGCATAGGATCCATGTAGTCCAGAGTTACACTGATTATATGAGAATATAATATAAAGAGATAAAAATGAAGAGGATACTGAAGACTCCTAGTTTTTGGTGATAATGTGGGTTTTAATTTTCAAAGATTCTCAGAGCAGGAGGATTAAGAGAAAAGCTACCCTTTACTAATACAAGCCTCCAGACCTGACGCTCAGAAAACATGCACTCTGCTAGGATCAGACTGTTTGTAGTGCTAGAGCAGATGTAGAGCTCATGCCTACCTCACTGTGGTTATGAAGAGCTGCTTAAGTCTAGCCCTTGGGGGAAAAAAAGATGAGTTCTCACCTTTCTAGGACTTTCTTGGAAAGGCAAGGACTGGGATTTTCTCTAGACTCCCCAAACCTTGGTATTTGGATGATATTGAAAAGTGGACTCAGTGCATGAGCCTTTTACAAGGCAAAAACTGACAGAAAAGGCAGAAGCAAGATTTGGAAGGGGGTTGCAAAAACAGGTGAAAAGCTCCACAGCTTTCTCATTTGATGGTTTTGTTGTTGTTTTGTGTGTATGAGTGTATTGCCTACATGTGTGTAAGTGCACCTGTGTCATGCAGTGGTCATGGAGGTCAGAAGATGGCATCAGATCCCCTGGAACTGGAATCACAGATGGTTGTTAGCTACCCCATGGAATTGAACCCAGATCCTCTGTAAGAGCAGTCTGAGTTCTTAACCACTGAGCCATCTCTCCAACCCCCTTGTTTGGTGGTTTTAATCCTATTGAAAGAACTGGGTAAAGAGTAACACCAAAAAGTCGCAAAAGAAAACCACACACAGTCCAAACTCAGTCATTTTTCTCTAGTAAAATATACTACAGGCTTTACCTCTAACCTCATTTAGTGGTTGCCTGTATTCTGGTTCCTAAATTATGTATTTTAACTAATGAACTGTCATTTATTTCAATGTTATAATTCCATTTAGCAAGAACCAGAACAGCAATTTCAAGCCAAGCTTAAAAGAGTCTTGACTATAACTAGAATTGGGTGTATTTATATTCCCTTACAGCTGAAATACCAAAAAGCACTCAAACGATTGTGAATGAGAAGATATACTGAGCTAAACCAATGCCTTTGAACATTTAGAAAGGTGTGCCAGAGCCTTCTCTGTTCGAGCTTCCGTCGTGGCCCTCTTCTGGTCTTCCTCTCTCCCTCAGCCCTGCATCCCCAGTAGGACAACCCCAGGTCAGGCTTCAGTGGTTAAGAGGCCGCCTGGGGAACGGGCAGAGGTGCAGTGTGGTCTGCCTGTAGGTGGCGCTGCTTCACCACACTACTGACCCAGACACGGGCAGCCTGGAAGAGATTTGCTTTCCTATTTCTGTTTTATGTTCCTTGGAAGTTTAAATATAATAAATATAAATGATCTCTGTTCACATCTCTTTTTTATCTCGGAAACAGTTCCCTAAATTCCACATACCATTGAGCATGGCACACCAGAATGCCACAGTCCAGCCTCATGAGAATCCCGATTTTCCAGTGGTTAGCTCATGCTCTGCAGGTGGCAGGCACTTGACCTTTCTACTAGTCCCTGTGACAGCCCTGAGGTCACAGTAGCTACCACCTTTCTTGATTATTCGATTTTTCCAGTTGTGACAACCCAGTCTCATACATGTATAAAATCACTGAACACCGTGCTTCATTTTGCTTATCCCAAAATTAAATCAAGATTCTAAAAGCAATCCTGAAGATTTTCTTCAACTTGATGACTGATTTAAGTAAATTGTTCATATGATGGTAATTCTCCATCCTGCCCTACTGTCTCTTTTGATAAATGTAATTCTTTGGCAGAGTATATGCATGTACAAATAAATACCTATGAATTTCCCCTTTTGATTGTGTAGCTACTAGCATAGTATGCAGTGTCCGTCCCTTGATATTTTCACTAAACAAATACATTTAATGACCACTTTTGTCCATATAAGAAGGTTCTTTTTTTTTTTTTTTTTTTTTTTTTTTTTAAAAAAAAAAAAAAAAAAAAAAAAAAAAAGAGGACGATAAATCTTTCACTGTGATATATCAAAATAA